AAAAAAGACAGACCAGGGAGGAGAGAACCTCTTCTAGCCGAGTATGGCGGCACTTCCCTGTAGCCCCAGCTTCTTGGGAGCCCAGGACTGGAGGATCACTTGGGCCCAGCTTAAAACCAGTTCCAGTGACAGCGCCAAGTCTCAAGACAACAGCAAAGGGCTGCATCTGAGTCACTGTTATCCTAGACCTTAGTATTCATCAGCTTCAGTGATGGGAAGGGAGAAGGTCAGGCCCTGCAATGCTGAGGCCAAGAGGAGGTCCTTTGAAGGGGCCTGAAGTCTGACCCCACCAGTAGCTTCACTCTGGTCCACAGAGCTCCCAGTAGAACGTTCTCTGCATGGTTGCAGGGCTCCCACAGTGAGAGCTTTCTGCAGCTGTTCCTGCCAGCATGCCTCGTTACTGCCCAGTCATGCCTGCTCACACCCAGTTCCTGCCTGTCATGCCAGCAGCCCTAGCCCTGCTTGTGTTCTTTGCCCTGCTTCGTGAGAGAGCACTGAAGGTTGTATAGGAGTTTTCCAGACAAAGGAAAGCATATGGACAGATTTATGTGAACTTTTCTTTTCCCCAGATGAGGGGTTTATTATAAGATAGGTAAAAAAGTAAATTCCCATTTTCTATTTATTTAGTGGTTTTTTTGGTTCTCTTGTATTTTGTTTTGGGACAGGGTCTTTGTAATTCAAGCGGCCTTGAATTCACTGTGTAGCCCAGGCAAGTTTTGAATGCATGGCTACAATCCTCCAGTCTCAGCCTCCTGAACACTGGAATCACAGGCATGTGCCACCATGCCCGGCTTCAACCTTTCTGTTTTGTCTTTTTGAGACAAGGTCTCCCCATGTCGTTCAGGCTGGCCCTGAGCTCATTTTGTAGCCCAGGCTGGTCCTGAACTCACAACAATCCTCCTGCTTTAGCCTTTCAAGTGCTGGGATTACATGTGCCTTTCGCACCTCACCCGGCTTTGTGAACCTGTTAAATAAAGCCGCATCCTTATCCCAGAGTCCTGTAGCTCTGTACTGCGGCCTCAGCCTCTGGTGGAAGGAGGCAGCCCCACATTACCTCACCAGTGTACCATACCCTTTTTAAATCTTCCTCATTTGTCTTTATTTAACTGTTGTTTCTACCTAGGAAAAATTGGGAGAATACCTGTATTTTTTCCAGTACAATACAATTAAGATTTTTTTCATTTATTTAACAATACTTTTTTCACTCTGAAGTGGGAGTGAACTGAGGTTAAACAAGGGGTGGGGGAGGCATGGCACCTCTGGGCCCTGGGTCCGTGTCCAGGGAAGGCACCAGTGAAATGAGGGGCAGTGTTAAGCCCAGAGCCACATCTCTGAGACCGAACAGGAACACATCACTGGAGAATGCTGTCCCCGCCCGCCAAGCCTGCCACTCACACCCCTCCTCTCCCTAGTGCTGTCCTCAGTCTGTGTAGACACAGGTGAGCCCGGCAACTGGTACACCAGTTCATCAGTCCTCTGTCCTCATGGAAAGTTAACAGTTTTTCCTAAAATATCACAATCTTCCTTCCTAACCTGCACACCCCGGGTGAGCTGGTCTAAGCTGGACCTGGGGCCTGTGGGTTGCTAGCCTGCTTCATGTCTTCCAGGGTGACCAGAATGAGGTTCTAACACCCCAGGGTCTGTATCACTGGGCGCTGGCTGCTGAGGCTACTGGGTCAGAGCTCAGGTGAGCCCCAACCCCGAAGTAGCTCCTCACAGCCCCACCCTGCAGCCATGGCAGAGCCACCATGGGAATTTGGCCGGGCACTGCCTGAGCTGTGAACCCCTCCTGTCTCACCCATCTCTGGCTGCTGCAGGTCAGCAGCCCTCTTGGACCTGGTCATACGCACCTCACCTTCCAGCAGGACAACCCTGAGCCTGCAGCTCCCCACACAGCAGCAATATGCTGGGGTAAGCCAGTCTCATGGGCTGGGAGATGCTGGGGATGGGGAGCTGTGCGACCATGGTGTGGAGTGAGCCACTGCCCAAAGACAGAGTGCACACGGCGTGGGGGCACGGGCATGCAATCTAGTGCTCTGGGAGGCTGAGGCAGGATGCAGGTCCATGCCCAGCATAGAAAACAGCAAAACTAAAAACATTTAATTTTTTGAGACAGGCTTATGCATCCCAGGCTGGCCTCGAACTTAGCAGCAATCCTCCTGCTTCAGCCTCAGTGGTGGGATTACAGGTGTGTATTCCTACACCTGGCCAACAAACTAAGAGTTGGGATATGGATCGAGGCCCCAGAAGAGAAAAGGATAAGGCAGAGCAGAGCCCAAGGAGGCCTCAAGCCCAGGAGCCTGTGTAGGACCAGTGTTATGGGGAGAAGGGAGCATCCAGCCAGGCTAGGTAAAGCCCGATGGTCTGCCGATCTCTGCTGGGCCCCAACTGCCCTTACCACCTAAGGTGTGGACTGGTGGGAAAGCCACAGCCACCCACCTAAGGCTCTAGTGTCCCCAGTCCCCAAGCTACACCCAACGGACTCAGGCCACAGTGAACACAGGCTTTATTACCACGCAGACTTGCTACCCCTCCTGCTGGCCTAGACTAGTGGGGGTGGGGGTGGATGTGGGGGTAGGGGGCAGGGATGGGGGCAGGAGGCAGGCACAGAGAGAGATCCCTGCCCAGTTCCCTGAGTTGTGCTCGGCCTGGCCTGGGCACTGCGGGGGAAGGCTCATCACCCCAGGCGCACATGGGGCAGAGACCGCTTCAATCTGAGACATGCAAGGGGCAGGAAGAGCTGTGGCACATACAGGTGCACATGCACGCATGTCCCAGGTGCTCAGCAGTCCAGGCCGATGGACACAAGCAGGTCCTCCAGGGCCCGTAGCCGCTGCTGCGCCTCCTCTATGGCGCTGTAGGTCTGCACAGTGCTGGCCACATGGAAGCGGATGTCGTCCACCAGTGGAATGGAATCCGTCTCCTGCCGGGCTGCCACAGCTGCTGCCTCCTCCCTCACAGCCTCCGCAAAGTCCTCGCGCTCCACCAGCTGGGGACAGGCAGACTCAGCACCTGAGACACAGATGGGCCAGCTCTCCCAGCCCTGGTCCCCGGTAAGGCTTACCTTCTCAATGACCTTGGCCATGTACTCAGTGCACTGGTCCTCCAGTCGCGCCAGGTGGAACAGCTTGGCTACGCGCCACACCCCTACCACACTGTCCTCATCCAAGAGCTGTGCCAGGCTGCGGCCACACAGCCGCTTCAGGCCAGGCAGCAGGTACATGTCGGCCACACTCAGTACATCATAGGCCGCCTCGGGGGACAGCTGGGGCAGAAGCAGGAAGGTGTACCCCCAGGTCAGCAAAGGCTGCCTGGGCCAGCACCCCCCAGGATCCCAGCAGTGAAGGGCAGCAGAGCCCAGGGCTGGAGGGCAGATGAGTGCAGGCCTGGACTCAGATCTGTGGGTCATGGGACCCTGGGCAGCTCTTCACCCCTCTGCACACAAGTTTGTCTGGCTGGGTGGCAAGAGACTCATGTTTGCCTCCAGAGAAGTCTGTTAACAAATAGGAGGCTGAGGCAGGAGGATCACTGTAAGTTTGAGACCAGCCTGCATTACAAAGTGAGCTCAAGGCCAGCCTGAACTGTATAGTGAGACCCTGTCTCAAAAACATTAAATTAAAAAAAAAGATAACAACTAACTGGAGCAGACGCTGGCAGGGCAAGGCATGGTTCATGCAGGTGAGGGGCAGCTACTGCACCTTCAGAAGTCACGGACATCCCTAAAGCCAGATGCCACCAAGCTCCTTCCCCACCCCCATGACATACGGGAAGGGGTGGTGCAATCCCTGCAACTCTCAGAAAGGAAACCCCTCACCCTGGCTTCCCCTTCCTCTCCCAGCCCGCACCTCAGTGTGGTCACTATATACGTAGTAGAGCACATGGGTGAAGACCTCAGGTGAGATGCCATGCAGGGTGACAACGGGGGGGTCCCCTGAGGCCTCAGCCTCCTCATTCTCTCTGAAGTGATCATCCAGAAGGGCCCGGAAGTAGTCGCTGCGGCCGCAGAAGAAGGCCTGGGGGAGGCCAGGTTGAGGAAGTGTCAGGGCCAGGGTCTACCAGTGAAGAGCCATCCCAGGGTAGTGGGGAGGGGATAGGCACCTTGTGGCAGAGGAAGCTGCAGCCAGCTACACGGAAGCAGATGTCTGGGCAGCTGTTGAAGCTGTCGGGGCAAGGGAAGGGCAGCTCCCCAAGATCACCCTGGGGGAGGAGAGAGGATCCTGTTAAGGCTACTCCCCAATGGGATAGGCCCAGCTTGGGTCAAGTGAGGATCAAAGCCACCACCCTGCACTCACACGAAGCTCAGGCGGCAGGGCACAGTCAGCCAACAGCGCCATGTCCTCCCGCAGCCGGGGGTCAGTGGCTGGGGGCTCGATGGTCAACACCTTCACACATGTGCCTGGCTTGGACGCCACTGTGGGGGCAATAGCAGCCTCAAGGAGGAGGTCAGCCCTGCCCAGCCCACCCACTGCCCTTGGCCTAGGGCACGTACCAAACTCAGACACCTTCTCACACTTGGCTTCCAGGTCACTAAGCAGGTCCCACAGCTGGCACTGCTTTGCCAGGCGCTCACAGTCGCTGACATGCTCCACGCCAATGTCCAGGTGGCCTGGAGGCGGCGTGGGACATCAGGGCACAAGGAAGGGACTTTCTAGATGGCACTACCCACCCACCCTGGTCACTTTGGTTCCCCGCATCCAGAAAGCCCTGGGGGACAGAGAAGATGGGGCTGATTTTCAGGCAGGACAGGCTCTCTACCCCGTAAGGCAACCACAGAAGCAGCCACCACCTCCCCACACTGCAGAGATGGCAGTGAGGAGTGACACTGGGTCGCCCAAGCCAACCTCCCGCACCTCAGCAAGGGCGTCACCTGTGTACAGGTACTGCAGCAGGGCCCCAAAGGCCACCGGATTGATCTGCGGGCAGACAGCCAGGAGGTCAGGGGCAGCCACCAGCATGAGCCCCACTGTCCCGAACAATCAGTGTCCATCACCCTGAGGGACACACCAGGGGGTGCCTGAGGACTACCACGCTCTTGCCCTTCCACTTGGTGTCAAGCATGTTGGCGAAGTAGGCACTGCGGGCACCCAGGATGCACCGGTGCACCCGGAACCGCTTTCCATGCACCACGAAGACCACGTCGCTGTGGATGCCCTGCTCCAGGAGCCTGGGAACAGCAGAGGGGGCACTGTGCCTGTGCTTGCTGAACCCTGAGCCACTGGTACTTGAGTGCATCACAGAGCCCCCCACCCCCCACAGCCCTCCCGGTCCCTCACCGCTGCAGGAAGTCGTTGTAGTAGTCATGTCGCCTGCAGGCAGCTGTGACCTGCCTGTAGTCGCGTAGTGCCCGACGAATGGCATCACTCAGCGCCCCATACAGGCAGCGCTCACCGTCGAAGGTGTTGGCCTCGCAGCGGGCTCCTAGGGTGTAGGCTCAGTGGTCAGCGGGCCAGGGCTGTGACTGTGGAGGGCCTGAAGGCTCCTAATCTCTGGCCTCTTAGCTTAGCTGCCCACATTGAGGCCCAATGTAATCCCAGAGACACCTTCCCAGGTACCCAAGACCACCTTACTCCAGCATCTCTGCACAGCAGAGGCACAAGGGCACTCCGTGCACTCACACATGCATACACGCAAGCACATACACACCTACACTCACACATCAGAGGGACCATCTCACCATTGGCCAGGAGGTAGAGCACCAGCTCCTCATGCCCACACAGGCAGGCATAATACCTGGGTGCGAAGAAAGGAAGGGCAAGAGGTGGCGGCTGTCAGCAAGGCAGAGTCCTCCACCCCCAGAGCAGCCCCCATCCCGCCTGGCACTCACAGTGGGGTGCTGTCCCACTTGTCCCGCACGTTCACCTCCACGTCACGCTGCTCCAGCAGGTACCTGATTGGGAAGGTCAGAGCTGGAGTCAGAAGTAGTTTCTGGAGAGTGTTCCCGGGTAGGAAAGCAAAGGTACTATGCAAGACACTGGTACCACCTCTGCTGGACCAGGGGGCTGGGACTCAAGGCTTTTCAGTACTGGAGGCAGCAAGGGATGAGGCCCCTCCTTTAGCCAGAGCCTGGGCAGTGACTGGGAAGGGCAGGGGACCACTGAGGGACGGAGCTAGAGGAGGAGATAGATCAAGCGGGCAGAAGCTGGGAGGTGGTTGCTGGTGGGGTGCAGTGAGAGGGGGGTCAGGCCGGGAGAGCTGCTGCTAGGGTGAGGTGTCCCTGGAGATCGACAGCCCAGCCCTCCAAGTCTGCGTTCGGAGTGTTGTGTGGCCTTGAAGTTGGGGAGATCCCAGGGCAGGTTTGCAGCACGGTGGGTGCCGGGTGGGGGTGAAGCGGGGGGAGGGCGGGAATGGGCAGGCTGGGCGAGGTGCCGTGCACGGAACTCCCCTCCTTTCAGGGCGTGAGGGCGCGACCCCGTCTAGGTTTGCGGCAGCAGCATCGGCGCCTCTGCACCGCCCCCAGCCACCCCTGCCCCCGCGGGGTCCTCACCGCACGCGGCCCACATCCCCTTTCCTGCAGCTGGCGAACAGGTCGCTAGTGTCCATGGCACGGCCACCCGGACCGGAGCACAGCGACCTCGGGCTGCGACACTGCCGGGCCGGATGTAAACACGCGCGAGGAGCTACAACCAGCCAGCTCGCAGCTCCGCCCCCCAGTTCAGCTCCGGCTGTGCAGCGGCGCCTGGCGCCCGGAGGACCGATCGACCCCTGCCCCTTCCCGGAATCGACTGAGCCCTCCTGAGGATTGACCCTTTCCTAGGTCCAGGCCCACCCGGAGGATCGATTGATTCCGGCCAAGGACGAAGCCCTTCCGAGGACCGAGGACTGAGCCCTCCAGAAGGATCTGGCCCACCCGCTCCACAACCAGTCGGCCTCTACCAGAGAACTGAGCCCCCCACCCCAGCAAGAACGACTCAGAGGCTCGGTGCCCGGGTCCGGGCCGGTTTAATGGGTCCGACGCGGGCGCGTGGCGGGGTGGGGTGGCCGGGCGCAGCGCCCGCGTCCGGAGCGTCACAGGTGCGTGTCCTCCTCGAACACGTCCGAGTCCTCGGGGTCGCGCTTGCCCCCCATGAGCGCACTCCAGCTGCCTGGGCCATTGAGTGCCCCACCACCGTTCAGGCTCGGCTGCTTCTCCTGCATCTCCGACTGGCTGTCGCTGGCCACGTCCAGCGTGGGGTTGTCGTGGCAGCCGTTCTCCACGAAGCGCAGCTCCTCGCCATGTGACTGTGGGGACAGGGTATGGGGCTGTGTCCCAACCAGAGCAGCTACAGGTCCGGGAAAGCCCCATCAGAGTCCCTGGGCACAGCAGCTGCGAGGCCCGCAGAGCAACTCTTTAAAAATCCTTTGCACAAAGAAGTTCCAGAAGCCACTCCTGCATTTCGTCCCTCCAACCCTCCCTGTCCCAGACAGCAGGGACTCCAGGGCTTAGCGCAGGACCCGGGATGCGGTGTGTATGGGCTGCCCACTCCTCCTATTTGTTCTCCTCCTCAGCCCCAGCCCTACCCCAGGCTCACCACGTGCTTAAGCTTGGGCAGCCGGCGCTGCCAGCAGTTGTAGAGCAGGCCCAGTACAATGATGATGAAGCAGATGACGCCGATGATCACCAGCACCACAAAGAGCGTTCCGTAGTCACTGCGCACCTGGGTGGCCCGCGCCTGGCAGCTGCTGGTCGTTGAGTAGTTCTGGATGCCGATCTGGGACAGGAGGGGCCAGCCCTCCATAGTGAGCTCCTCAAGGGTGTGCAGAGGGGGCTCCCACTGCTCTTGGAGGCGGGGACCTGTACTCCCACAGCCTTCCTGCACACCCCATCTCCATTTTGCCCACCGAGGGACACCTCCAAACTTCACCCGTGGCCACTTTGCCAGACCCTCAATCCCCACTGTAGCCTCATGACCCCATGACAGCAAAAGAAGGATGAAGTGAGGCCCTACGGGCATAGCCACCCCACTCCCATCCCTGTGACAGCCGAGGCAGCCTGGGGTCAAACACTGCACAGCCAAAAGGGTGTGGAAGAGCGATTAAGGGGAGATGGGAGGTCACTGTGGCCTGAGGTAGGACGGGCATCTTCCTGGACATGGTGGCTGTCCCCTTGGAGTGGAATGTCCCCTCTTTAGCAGAGGTGGTGCAAGGGGCGGGAGCCCAGGGGCCCTCTCCCACCCTGGGCTGTGTGTTGCCAGCTTCTTGGCCCACCTCTTCCCATTTCCCAGCCTGCACCCCCATTGCTCATCCTATTCAGGTCCCCACCAAGCACTCTAGCCACTGCCTTTTGGGGTATTCTGCTGACATCCCAGGGGTACTCTGGTTCCTGTACCCTGACATGGTGTTTTCTCCGTGTCTCCCCTGTGCTGATAGCCTCCCCCACCATTGCCCACAGCCCTCTCCAACCTATGCAAGCACTGCATATGACAAAAAGTGCCCTCCCATCTCCCCCACAAGGCCTGAGACAGCTGCCCAGAGTAGGACCCCAAAGGGCTGCATGTACCAGGTGCCCCAGTCCGGCACTCTCACCTCCTCCAGACTCCTGCGGATGTCACCCAGCATGGAAAGGACATCTTGGGTGGGCATTACCCCTAGCAGTAGAGACATGGGCATTAGCACAGTCATGGCCCAGCCTAGGAATCTCTATGGGTCTCCAGGCCCCACCTACCCACCAGCTTTGATGGCACAGAGGTCCTTAGGGCACAGGGGCCCCATCCCATCTCTGACATCTGCTGTGATACCAGTGACCACCTCAGTCCTCATACCCATGTGCAGGGCCTGTGTTTGTCCCTGCTCCAAGTCCCCCCACCCCCAGACCTCCTTAGGTCAGTGCCTAGGCCCTACCTGGCCCCCTTGCACCCCTGCTCACCCTGCTCGCCCACCAACATCATCAGGAGGTGTTGTTCCTTCTCGCTGGGTTTGCTCAGGGAGATGTGCCAGTCCCCATGGTGGCCGTGGCGGTGGCGGGGCAGCACCTCTTCCACCAGGGCCAGGAGCTGCAACCCCCGGTGCTGCCGGAACACCTCCTGCAAGGCAGGGACAGTGGCTTTAGACCCCTTGTTTCCCACTAGGCCCTTTCTACCTTCACCCAGTTGCCAAAGTTCCTTAAGCTACTTGGAGCAGCTCTGGGGACCAGCTGGGGGCTGTAATCTTGCCACTGGTGGGAACTCCAAGGTGCACCCCCTGCTCAGCCTCCAACATGAGGAAGGCATGGGTCAGCCCAGAGTCACACTGAGCAAGGGGACAGACACACCCACGCACAGTGGTGACAAGCTGAAGACATGGATTCGTGCCTGTCACCTTATGCCTGGTATGAAGTGTGTGGCACAGAATGAACATCGGAAGGGAGACCACGCTCATGCATAGACAACACCAGAGCTTTGGGGAGCAGGTGGCAGGCACGGGCAGTTTTCTGACACCACAGACACACCCTGGTGTGGCCTGGGGTGACCTGAAGAGTGGCTGCAGAGAAGGCTCCACACCTGGAGCACGAGGAGCAAGATGAGACAGACCTCTTTCCTGACTCACACTCACCCAGACCACTAAGCTTTTCTTCCCGTGTCACCCATAACTACACAACTAAAACCTAAGCAGGAGTCTGGCCCAGCACAGGCACTCGAGGAGTGGCAGCAACTAACATGGAGCCTCTTGCCCACAGCACAGCCCCCATTTGTCCTTCCCACCCGCCTCCTTGGTCCTGCGGCTGCTGCCCCTCCAGCTCCCCTCCACAGCCCTCCCTTCCTGTCCATGCATGCAGGCTTATCAGGCCCCAGGCACACCTCTCCCAGCTGCTCAGCTCACCCATGTGTGCTGGCAGAGCACACCGGGGCCAAGAGCCAGAGCTCCCAGGAAGTGTGGCCACCTCACCATGTCACCACATAGGGCCTCCCACCACTCTCAACCTGAATGTTGCTACAGCCCAGACCAATAAGTGGTTCCTGGTTGTCATGCCAACTTAAAGGCCACCAGGGTGACAAGGGTGCTGGACCAGTGTTTCTGGTTACCATCGTAAGTGCAGGCTCAGCCCCAAGGCTTGGCCACTCACTGGCCTATAGTGCAATGCACTTTTAACATGGAACTGGTTGGGGAGGCCCTCCACAGCCAGGGAACCTACAGCCCCTTCCAGGTCCCTGCCTTCCTCACTGCTGGGGCTGGCCATATACACCCAGGCCAGGGTGCAGGTGCTGGGTGCCAGGGCTCCCATGGTGCCACGGGGCTCCGCCCCGCCCCCGCACAGTCCCACATCTCTCTGGGCAGAGATGGGGCCCAGCTCATACCTACTAGGTCCAGTGATGACAGATATCACACCACTTGTGTGACAGGCAAACTGAGTGTTTGTGGCAAAGGGAGGGAGCCCTGACTTTTGGAATCTAGTAAGTTGGAGTTATAGTCTTGGTTCTGCCATTAGTCAGCTCTATGACTGTCAGCTTAGCACTACACCTCTCTGAGCCTCGGTTTCCTCATCTAAAAATGGGGACAATGGTCCTATCACCCTGGAAAGATTACAAGAAAACTGCCTGGGGCTGTACATTAGCCTGGTATGGTGGTGTACACCTGTAATCCCAGCACTCTGAGAGGCTGAGGAAGGAGGACCACAAGTTGAGGCCTAGACTTGGCAACTTAATGTATTACTGAGACCTGTCTCAAGCTGAATGATTTAAAAAAAAAATGGGCTGAGGTATATTACAGTGTGAAGGCCTTCAGTTTCCTAGTGGAAAGGCAAGGTGAGCAAGAAATACTCAAGCTGGGCATGGTGGCACACACCTGTAATCCCAGCACTCAGGAGGCTGAGGCAGGAGGATCATTGCAAGTTTGAGACTAGCCTGGGCTACAAAGTGAGCTCAAGGCCAGTCTGAACTGCATAGTGAGACCCTGTCTCAATAAAATAAAATAGGGCCGGCGAGATAGCTCAACAGTCTAAAGTGCCTGCTTAGGACTTAGGTTCAATCCCTGGCACCACATACCCCACCAGCCCCACCCTGAGGGCAGGCTGAGCTTTCCATAAATAAATAAATAAATAAATAAATAAATAAATAAATAAATAAACATTGCCAGTCCTATGGATAACCCACTACTATTATAGACTACTGGACTATATTGGATTATTTTGCTGAATTCACGCACCTACAGTATTTAAATGGCAATGGAATACCCATCTTGGACAAACCTAAACAAAAAAAAAGGGGATATAAATGAAGAACCATTTTGTATCTGTGTATACAAAATAGTTAGGGTAGATATACAGCTACTTTCTCTTAATTCAATGAGAAGAAAGATTTGTACTAATGGTGTTTGGACAGGATATCATGTCTGCATCTTGTACTATGAATAACCACTATGAAGACAATATGCAATGTTTTAATTATTGAAACTGTCCTACTAATTGGTTTTGAAACTGTCTCATTGCTATTTGTTTCTCAATAAAATTAATAAAAAACAAATAAAGTAATTTTAAAAAATAAAAAAAGAAAAATACTTATTCAAAGATGCTGGGACAACTGGAAAAAGAAAGAGTCAAGTCATACTTCACACCATTCACTAAAAGCCCCAGAGCACAGACAGCTCGTTGGGATTAGCACTCCTGAAGCCAGATCTTGGATGCTAACCCCCACTCCTGATGAAGAGCAAAGCTAACGGAGCTCCTTGCAAAAGTGTC